CCCCTGATTGTCCCACTCTGATTCCCACTTTTGCACTCTATCTTTGTGTCTGTTTCTTAATTAGTTCAGCACTGCCTGGGTTGGGATCTCTATGACGGAGCTGGTCTCGGCAGTTGTTTTTCGACTTTTTAATAATAGCAATTCTGATGGGTGTGAGATGGCATCTCATTGTGGTTTTGATTTGGATTTCTCTGATGATTACTGATATTGAGCACCTTTTCAAATGTTTGTTGGCCACTTGTATGTCTTCTTTTGAAAAGCGTCTGTTCATGTGTCTTTTGCCCACTTTTTAATGGAGTTACTTGTTTTTATTTCTTGAATTGTTTCCTTATAGATTCTGGATACTAGGCCTTTGGTGGATGCATAGTTTGTGAATATTTTCCCACATTCTGTGGGTTGTCTATTTACTCTGTTTACAGCTTCTTTTGCTGTGCAGAAGTGCTTTAGTTTACTTGGGTCCCACTTGTCAATTTTTGTTTTTTGCATACTCACAAACTCTTTCCCAAGGCTGATGTCCAGAACAGTGTTCCCTAGATTTTCTAGGGGTCTTATAGTTTGACATCTTACATTTAAATCTTTAATCCATCTTCAGTTAACTTTTGTATATAATAAAAGGTAGGGGTTCAGTTTCGTTCTTCTGCGTATAGCTGTTTATCTATCTCAGCACCATTGATTGCATAGGGAGTCCTTTCCTCATTGCTTATTTTTGTCAAGTTTGTAGGAGATCAAATGGCTGTAGGTGTGCAGCTTTGTTTCTGGGCTCTCTATTCTGTTCCATTGGTCTATGTGTCTGTTTTTGTATCAGTATTATCCCCTCTTTCATTTCTTATTTTAGTTTTTAATTTTCTGTTTTTTTTTTTTTTTTTTTAGTCTGGCTAAATGTTTGCCAATTTTGTTGATCTTTCAGAGAACCACATTTTGGTTTTGCTGATTTTTTTATATTGCTTTTCTATTCTCTATTTTGTTTGTCTCCATTTTTTATTCTTTCCTTCCTTCTGCTAGCTTTGGACTAGTTTCTTCTCTGCTAGTTTCTAAATGTGTAAAGTTAGATGACTGATTTTTCACATTTATTCTTTTTTAATGTAGGTATTTATAGGTATAGATTTTCCTCTGAGCATTGTTTTTACTGCATTTCATAGGTTTTGGGAGTTGGTGTCTTCATTTTAATGCATCTGAGTATTTTCTACTTTTCCTGGTGATATCTTCTTCAATCCATTGTTGTTTAACAGTGTACTATTTATTTCCACATATTTGTGAATTTTCCAGTTTCCCTTCTGCTATTGATCTCTAATTTCATTTCACGATGATTGGAGAAGATATTTTATGTTACTTCTGTCTATTAAAATATATTGAGGCTTGTTTTATAGCAAGATAATTAGAATGTCCTGGAGAATTTTCCATGTCAACTTGAGAAGAAAAAAGTGTATTCTGCTATTGGGTAGAATGTTTTATATGTATATTCATTAATTAGATCTTGTTGAATTATAGTATTATTCAAGTACTCTATTTCCTTATTGATCTCTGCCTAGTGGTTCTATCCTTCATTGAAACTGGGGTATTGAAATCCCCAAGATTTTTGTAGAACTGTCCATTTCTTCCCTTACTGCTATTAATGTTGCTTCATGTATTTTTGGGCTCTTTTGTTAGGTTGTATGTGTTTGTAATTGTGCTACCTTCTGATACCACAATTTTTTTCAATATATATGATGTTCTTTCTTATCTCATAATAATTTTTATCTTCAAGTCACCTTTATGTGATGTTAGCATAACTTACCTTATTTGTCAGCTAGTGTTTTGGCAGTTTCCTTAAATGTCAGCCATAGGAAAAGAGAAAGAAAATTTAAAAATGTGCTTCCCATTCTTTGCAAGTCAGCTGTGTTAATATTCTCCTCTAGTGCTTAACAAGACCGTTTACAACTTTGCGGTAGCCTTCACTTCCTGCTTGTGTGGAACCTGAAGATCATCCAGAGGTGAAGTCTTAGACATTTGTCAGGCCTTTTCTGAGCCTGTGTCTGGCCTTGGGCATGTGTATGACATTCTTCATTACAAGGTAGATGCGAGAGGTTTTAAAAACACTTATTCCTTCCATTATCTCCTTTTCCATCCTCTTACTTTTCACCCTTTCGGCCTGTCTATAATTATCCTATAATTATCCTCCTGTCTGCTGTAGCCAGTATTTGTGCCTCTATGTGCTTTCAGCAAATGCCACCTGGGAAACTGCCCCAGCCCTGGGAATGCTCCAAGTGAGGCAAAACAAAGGCAAACCCTTGTGGCATTCCATCAGGGACTGTCATGCAGATTGAATGAATAACCACAATTCTTTGAGATTAATGTCTGTCCTGCTCCTTCTGGCACTGGCAATCTGTATCAGGAGTGTAGGCTGCTGTCCTTACCATTGCTTCTGATCTGGGAACTGAAAGATACAGGCAGGCAATTCAAAATGCAGCAGCACTTTTTTTTTTTTTTTTTTTTTTTTTTTGAGACGGAGTTTTGCTCTTGTTACCCAGGCTGGAGTGCAATGGCGCGATCTTGGCTCACCGCAACCTCCGCCTCCTGGGTTCAGGCAATTCTCCTGCCTCAGCCTCCTGAGTAGCTGGGATTACAGGCACGCGCCACCATGCCCAGCTAATTTTTTATATTTTTAGTAGACACGGGGTTTCACCTTGTTGACCAGGATGGTCTCGATCTCTTGACCTCGTGATCCACTCGCCTCGGCCTCCCTAATCAACAGCACTTTTAAATCTCAAAGCAGTAGCTCCTTTCTTCATGAAGCCTTTCCCTGATTGTTGTTTTTGTTGTTTTGTTTGTTTGAATTTCAAAACTTTTAGGTTTGGGGTTCATCGTTATATAGGTAAACGTGTGTCACAGGGGTTTGTTGTGCAGATTATTTTGTCACTCAGGTATTAGGCCTAGTATCCTTTTTTGTTTTGTTTTGTTTTGAAACAAGGTCTCACTCTGTCACCCAGGCTGGAGTGCAGTGGTGCCATTGTTTGGTGTTGGTCATGTCAGTGTCTTTGTTCAGGCGCCAGCTGTGACAGGTATCATGTCAGGGTCACCACCTGAGACATTGATAACCACCTGCGGAGGTCTGTCCTGCAGAACCTGACTCAGCAACGGATGAATAAATGCACTGACAGACCAAGTACACTGATTTGAGTGGGCTAGGGATGGTCATCAACTGCTCTCGGAGGGTGACTTCAGCTAACCAACCACAACTCCTTGTTCCTCCTCACATTTATTCAGTATTGATTTAATAACAGAGGTTCTAAGTCAACATGCTTGTGGATAATTAACATGGTTGAAGAATGGCTTTAGGAATTATAAAAGGTTTTGGTTCTGGGGCCCAGAATAAATTGGGTAATTCCCCATTAATTGTCGACCTCCCACCGAGAGAACCATCCAGCACAAAATTTACATGAGTAAACAGTTAGAGTAGAGACAAAGGAATGTGGGGTAAACAGGCTTAACTGGGGAAGCCTTTATTATCCTAATCTTCACCCTGTGACTTAATGTTCTAGCATAAGAACTGGCTGCCTTCAGCCTGTTCCATAAGTTAAGAAAAAGCTTTCAGCCTTCCAAAAGGTTAGAGACTATATCTTATAACCTTTCCCTAATATTATCCTTAATATTTTGCCAGCCACCTTGAGTGAATCCAAACACCATGGCAGCTCACTGCAGTCTCAACCTCCCAGGCTCTGGTGATCCTCCCACCTCAGCCTCCTTAGTAACTGGGACTAAAGGCATGTCATCACACCCACCTAACTTTTTGTATTTTTTGTAAAGACAGTTTTGCCATGTTGGCCAGGCTGGTCTCAAACTCCTGGGCTCAAGGATCTGCCCATTTCAGCCTCTCAAAGTGCTAGGATGACAGCATGAGCCACTGTGCTCTGCTGTTGTTAAGTTTTTAACTAGATCTCAGAGTTCTGTAAAACTTGATTCTGATGATTTTTGCCAGATCATCAGTTGCTTTTGTGGAGCCATGGAGTCCTGGAGTTCCTTACTGTATTTACCTCGAGCACTTTTTGGATTATAAATAAAGGTCTTGCTTGCTTAGCCAAAGGCATTCAGAGAAGCAGATTCTGTAACATGTCTATTTTCTCTGAGAGATTTTTCTTCTTAACGTATTCAAAGTCCTCTTTGAGGTACTGAGTTGAATATAGGCTTTTTAAGAGTCAGAAGGCCTGACTTGTTACCAACAAGCTCTCTGATGATTGGACAAGGCTCTTATTTTTCTGGACACAGTTGTTCACATCTGTAAGGTGAGCTGTTTGGAGTTAGTAGGATTCATCTGGGCCTGCTATTCTACAATTCTGTCACTGTTATTCAGAGGAATGTGGATTTATTGACTAGTTTAGAGGGTTAAAGGATTGTTCTAAGTTAGGAAAAATCTGAAGGTTTGAATAAGTTGTGAAAGGTCTGTAAAACAATCTTGTAAAAAATTTCATATGTGGATATGTGGTGTTACTTCTGCAGCCTCTGTTCTGTTCCATTGGTCTATGTATCTGTTTTGGTACCAGTACCATGCTGTTTTGGTTACTGTAGCCTTGTAGTATAGTTTCAAGTCAGGTAGTGTGATGCCTCCAGCTTTGTTTATTTTACATAGGATTGTCTTGGCTATATGGGCTCTTTTTTGGTTCCATATGAAGTTTAAAGTAGTTTTTTTCTAGTTCTGTGAAGAAAGTCAATGGTAGCTTGATGGAAATAACATTGAATCTGTAAATTACTTTGGGCAGTATGGCCATTTTTACGATATTGGTTCTTCCTATCCATGAGCATGGAATGTTTTTCCATTTGTGTCCTCTCATTTCCTTGAGCAGTGGTTTGTAGTTCTCCTTGAAGAAGTCCTTCATGTCCTTTGTAAGTTGTACTCCTAGGTATTTTAATTCTTTAATTCGTAGGTAGCAACTGTGAATGGGAGTTCACTCATGATTTGGCTCTCTATTATTGGTGTATAGCAGGCGTCCCCAAACTTTTTACACAGGGGGCCAGTTCACTGTCCCTCAGACCGTTGGAGGGCCACCACATACTGTGCTCCTCTCACTGATCACCAATGAAAGAGGTGCCCCTTCCTGAAGTGCGGTGTGGGGCCGGATAAATGGCTTCAGGGGGCTGCATGCGGCCCGCGGGCCGTAGTTTGGGGACACCTGGTATATAGGAATACTTGTGATTTTTGCACATTGGTTTTGTATCCTGAGACTTTGCTGAAGTTGCTTGTCAGTTAAGGAGATTTTGGGCTGAGATGATGGGGTTTTCTAAATATACAATCACGTCATCTGCAAACAAAGACAATTTGACTTCCCCTCTTCCTATTTGAATACACTGTCTTTCTTTCTCTTGCCTGATTGCCCTGGCCAGAACTTCCAATACTATGTTGAATAGGAGTCATGAGAGAGGACATCCTTGTCTTGTGCTGGTTTTCAAAGGGAATGCTTCCAGCTTTTGCCAATTCAGTATGATACAGGCTATGGGTTTGTCATAAATAGCTCATATTATTTTAAGATATGTTCCATCAATAACTAGTTTATTGAGTGTTTTTAGCATGAAGGGGTGTTGAATCTTATCAAAGGCCTTTTCAGCATCTATTGAGATAATCATGTGGTTTGTGTCATGGGTTCTGTTTATGTGATGAATTACATTTACTGGTTTGTGTATGTTGAAGTAGCCTTGCATCCCTGGGATGAAGCTGACTTGATTGTGGTAGATAAGCTTTTTGATGTGCTGCTGGATTCAACAAAACAAGAAATGGGGAAAAGATTCACAATGGTTCTCTCAAAATTATAATTGGTCACGGCAGGCACCAAGAGGCAGATTCCCAGTAGATAAAAATACCTGAAATTGGTAATCCGCAGCTTTCAGGAGTTTGGTGATTGAGCTTGAGGATACACATTAAGGGACAGAATGATAGAGTATGACCTTCCAGGGGCATTCCACCAGAAAAGGAAAGAATGCCTCAGGTGAGCACGGGTACAGCTTCAGTTATCACACTGCTCATGCTCACCTTTTAAGTGTTAGCAGGCCAATGTGCATGCGATGAGCCACCCCAAGGAAAGAATCATGGGAAAAGGGACTCAAGACATTGGAAGTATGCCAGCATATAAAATCCTAAATCAAAAGGTCAATTGCCACACTTTACCTCCAATATTCCTGCTTAGGTCTCTTCCAAGTGTATTTTTCTTTCTTTCCTGCTCTAAAGCTTTTTAATAAACTCCCACTCCCACTGTGAAATTTGCCTTGGACTCTTTTTCTGCTTTATGCTTCTCAAATTCTTTCTTCTAAGGAAGCAAGAATCGAGGTTGCTGCAGAACCATACAGATTTGCCACCAGTAACCTGGATATTTGCCACTGCTAACAAACCAAAACAAGTTCTTTCATTCTGTAACACTTAAAATTAAGGAATTTATCCTTAAGGTAATTATTTTTGCAATTCATTATAGTAAAAGTTTCTCAAGAAGCTGACAATACCAATGTACAAAGTGGAACAATTTCTTTACATTATACCATCTGGTTTTAATAGTTACGTGGTTTTACCCTTCCCCAACATGGACTACCTGCATGGCAACCACAGGTCTCAGAAGCAAATTTTGTTGCCCTGGCTTAATTTTTCTTTTTAACCATTTAGTTTTATCTGTGTAATTTTCCCTTCATTTTAAAGCTACTCTTAAATAGTTTCGTTGTTTTTAAGAGCAGGGTGAACGTTTATTTAAAAAGGCTTTAGAACAGGAAAGAAAGAAAAGTATGCTTGGAACAGACCCAAGCAGGCAACTTGAAGGACAAGTGCCTTAAATAGTTTCTTAATTTTTAAGCAAAATTGACATCCTTGTTTTTTCATAAACTTCATCCAAGACACATTTTATGTTTTCACTATTTAAATTTAGTAGCCCAGATTCTCAGTGAAAAAAAAAAAAATCCTGAGATTACTTAACATGACTGTAAGATTTTAAACTACTGGAGAGAATTTTGCAATTAAATTTACCAAGTTAATTTTACCAAAGATTATCAAGGTTATGTGAATTGAAAAGTATCTGAGCTAACTTCTACTAGTCTGATAAGCATTTACTATTTTTTAAAAAAGTCAATTGATTAGCTCTTTCATATGGCTTCATAGTGAAACATTACTTCCACATGACACATATAGCTATAACAGGCATACAGAGTAAAAAGGCAGATCCAAAATATTTTTGATTAGCTTGTTTTCAGAACAAAATTACCTCCCTCACTTTAGATAATTAATAAAAAGTTACAGGAGCCAACAAAAGGTGAAGGAGAGTTATCATCCAAGGCCTTTTCAAAAAAAAAAAAAAAAAGCTGAAATTCTGAGATTATAATCTGAAGAATTTCAAGGGGACAGATTATGGAATTTAAAAATTAGGCTAGGCACAGTGGCTGAGGCTCACACCTGTAATCCCAGGAATTTGGGAGGCTAAAGTGGGTGGATCACTTGAGTTCGAGAGTTGGAGACCAAACTGGCCAACATGGTGAAGCCCCATCTCTACTAAAAATACAAAAATTAGCCAGGTGTGGTAGTGGGTACCTGTAATCTCAGCTACTCAGGAGGCTGAGGCAGGGGAATTGTTTGAACCTCAGATGCGGAGGTTGGAGTGAACTGAGATCATGCCACTGTACATCAGCCTGGGTGACAGAGCAATACTCTGTGTCAAAAAATAATTATAATTAAAAACTTCTTCCATTATAAAAGGTTTTACTCTTTCTGGTCTCTGTTCTTCAAGTTTGCCTTTGATTGATTTCATGTAATCTTTGAGATACTTCTTGTAGGCTTCTTTTGCGAAACTTGTTTCCTGCAGGTGATGGTTCATGACAATATCGACACCAGTGATTACTGTGCTTTCGGTACCTTCGCCCTCGGGGCCTTCAGCGGAGGCATTTCCACCAATGAGCGAGTCATCAGTGTTACCGTCTGTCCTACTGACCATCTTCCCCTCCACCTCCAGGCACAGCCCGTCCACGATCTCCCGGATCTTGTAGATGTTGGAGAACATCTTATCGTGGCTGATGAGATCCCGGTAGATAATCATGACGGCGGCTGACGGGAGAGGACGGCGGCGCTAGCTTAGCAGGAGCCCGAAGCTCGGAGCCAGCGCTGTGCAGCCCGAGCGGCGCTAGGGGGGAGGGGGGAGCGGGCGGAAAAGCTAGACTCCTAATTTCTTGATAACCTATTTCACTACCCTAGGCAATTGTTGGCTAGATAGCCCTAAATTTACATAGTAAAGGAACAACTCTTAAGTGAAAATCAGATAGTGAAATTTATATTTTAAAGTACAGAGAGAAAAAAAAAAGAGAGAGAGAGGGAGTCTGTGTGTGTTAGAGAGAGATTAAAACTGGATGCCAATTCAAACAGAAAATTATAAAAATCTACCATAGGATTGTATAAGGAGACTAATGTTATTTAGATAGGTAGTTTTGAATTTACTCTTTATCTTTCAACTGGGTCTAAGAGCTTTAGGAAGTGCCCACACTGAATCTTGGGTCTCCAAAAATAGAGAGGTACCATGAGACTAGGCCATGTAATGCTTTTACACTGTACTTCATTACAAAGACATGTGACATGTCTCTAAATGTCTAAACCAAGCCCTTTCTTATTTTAAACATTCAAGAGTTGCCCCTGTTGAAATAACTATTTTTGTAAAAAAAAAATATATATATATATATATAATATATATATATATAATATATATATAAAATCAGGCAACACAACACAAAAGCAAGCCGTTTAAGATTGGAGAGGAACTTGTCTGTTTACACTCTTGAGTAAAACAGAGTTTGGTATGGTATGTAGGGTAAAACAAAGTTTATCATAAGGTGAAACAGAGGTTTCTCCCCAAAAATGAGTCTGGCATGTTCTCTGTTTTCTTTAAGGAATCCCAAGCTATTAGAAATTATTCTAGGTCCCTCGTGCAGCAGAGGGTGGCAAGAGAAAGAAGAGACAGGCAGAAGTAAATGGAGAAAACAGAATTCAGTTGACTGAGAAGGATACAAAAAACCTTTTTCTCAAAAAAAGAAGATCTTAGGAGAGAAAGAAAGCATAAAGGCCTTTTAAATAAATAAATAAGCAAACAAACACACATATACACACACATATGTATATATCTTGGATATTAACTTTTAATTAATCTGATTTTTTAACCAGTGAGCTCTTAAAGAAATCCTTTTCAATCTCATTACCCTATTTTAGCTGGAACAAACTGCTGGTATTTCAAAAGTACTACAAATATCAAGCCAGAAAAGACTTGATTTACAAACCAAACTCAAGCCGTCATGGTGAAAAGAGGGCACGATCTTAGCTACTGAACTACAGCCAGAGGCAAGGACCATTGCTCTTTCAGTTTGTCTTCGTGAGCAAAAAGTGGCCATCATATGTAAACAAAGCCCCTCAAGTAGTCAAAATCTTTCTTTCTTTTTTTTTTTTTTCCCTTTTGCCGACCATTTTTTTTTCTTTTTCCTTTTTTTCCAGCTGTGGGAATTTAGTCAATGCAGAAGGCAAGCTTGATCGCTGTAATTTGGAACTTTCCTTTGGATTTGATCAAGTTGGATAGAGTTGGTCAAACCCTATGGGGGTAAAAAAAAAACCCAAAAAACAAAAACAGTCACAAACACAAACAAATGAAAGTTAAGGAAAATAAACAAATGATCACACAGTTTACACAATTACTGAGTGCTCTAAATGTAAGGGGAAATTAAGGCCAGCCTACTTGTTAATCTTAACTTCTAGTCATTAAGGATCATTTCCAAGACAAAACCCCAATTCAGCTACTTACCTAGGAATGGGCCCCAAGCTCAAGACTGCTCTCTACCAGCCTACAAGCAGGAAATACTGAAACTTGCCTCCCTTGTTGGAAGTGAGCTGAAACTTCAGAAAGTAGTTGTTCGCTCTTCGTTGTCATGGAAGCAGGAAAACTCATCTTCCTTGTTGGAAGCAAGTAAAACTCCAGAAAAGGAAATGTACAACAAAATAAACCTTAAATCTCAACCAAATTTTGGAAGATCAAGGATTCTCTGAAGGAGGTAGCTCCCAAGTCTTGGCGAATTGTCGTATCAGTTTGAGCAATAAAGATAGCCCAGGCTGGTATCAAGCACCAACAGATTTGTCAAAAATGAGGGACACCTCCACTCAGCGTTCCTTATGTGGGTTGCCAATTTGTAAACAAAAAACAATCTATTTAGAAGTTTATTTGCCAAGGCTAAGGATATACCTATTTTGCCAAGGAAACAAGTCTGTTCTCTTCTACATAGATGATTTTGGGGGCTTTAGTATTTAAAGGGGAAAGGTGGGCTGGAGGGAAAAGAAGGAGGGCATGGTCACATTACTGAATCCACATGTTGCAAGAGAAAAGGATCAGGTAGGAGAGCAGTCAATTATGTATTCACCTTGTGTTCACTGTAAAAGGTGAGCATAGACTGGCTACCTGTGGAGATAATTAATGAACTTTTTATCTGTAGCTACCTGCTAAGGAACAAAAGAAAGGCAGCTTCTTGCATTATGAGCTTTATTTCATTTTCTTTTGGCTGAGTGAATTGGGGTACCAAGTTTTCATTTTTCTTTCACAGTACTTTACAAATATTAACTCAGTTATCTTCACAACAATCCTAAAAGGAAGACATTGTTATTATCTCCGTTTCTCAAGTGAGGAAACTGATGTGAAGAAAGATTAGGTACCTTGCCCAGGTTCCACAGCTACTCCATAGCAGAGATTCCCACCATAAAGGTGAGTGGAGGAACAGCATCTAGCTCATACCATTGCTGTCATGAGTGAAAGAGGCAATGCATGGATGTCTAATACTGGGCACGGCGGATATAGAGCAGGAGCTCAGTAAGTAGCCAATGCTGTTAATGTAATTAGTAGTAACAATATCTGAAGTTGAGTATCTGTAGAAGGAACACAGAGGTTTGTGCCAACTATAGAATTCATATGGTGAAAAATTTATAAATTTTTTTGAAAATGACAACTAATTCATATACACCACTGCATGTTCAAATTTGTACGATTGATATAAATAAACATATACGATAATACAGGTTACTTCTTTATGATACTGGGAATGATGTGAAGGGAAAAGATACAATTAAAAATTTAGTTTTATAAAATTAAATATTTCAGGAATACCAGTTTCTTTCTTCCTTTTTTTTTTTCTTTCTTTTTTTTTTTTTTTTTTTTTTTTGAGACGGAGTTTTGCTCTTGTTACCCAGGCTGGAGTGCAATGGCGCGATCTCGGCTCACCGCAACCTCCGCCTCCTGGGTTCGGGCGATTTTCCTGCCTCAGCCTCCTGAGTAGCTGGGATTACAGGCACGCGCCACCATGCCCAGCTAATTTTTTGTGTTTTTAGTAGAGACGGGGTTTCACCATGTTGACCAGGATGGTCTTGATCTCTTGACCTTGTGATCCACCCGCCTCAGCCTCCCAAAGTGCTGGGATTACAGGCTTGAGCCACCATGCCCGGCAGTTTCTTTCTTTCTTTTTTTTTTTTTTTTTTTTTTTAAAGTAAAGCTCAGAAGCCAAAAGTGGGTAAAATCCTTGTCTAGATTTTCATTTAAATTTCCTTAGCTTTTTTGCTGTTGTTGCTATTGTTTAAAGAGGAAGTTTCAAAGTATTTCACTTGATAAAAATAAACTCAGAAATATGAATATCTACTGCCTTTGTATTCCTCATACTACCTCAGGGAAACAACTATGTATCATTGCAAATACATGAATGTCAGTTATTCTTTACCCTTTTAACCAGTTGTGTGATTCTTAGTTCTGTGATTTGAAATTAAAAAATTGTCTTAGCACATTGTCTCAAGAATGGCCTCCCATTGTTTTTGGGAAATTGATGTGAACTTTACGTATAATCACAGAATAGAACAGTTTGTGGCCACTTACAGCTTCACTCTTGTAAATAAACTTTAATAAAATTACAGAGTTGAAGTTAGGCATAATAAATTTTAGCTCTGAAATGTATACTGTGAAATTCTAATCATCCAGTAATGATCCTACCCGAGGCTGCCCAAATGGGCTATATCTTCCATGGGAATATTTTCTGCTCCCATCTTAACAGTCTCTACAATTTCTGTATCTAATATTTGTGACATATGTTGCCAGTGTTATCAAGCAAGACCAATGTAGCTGATCAGTATACAGATTTATAGGTTCCATCCAAACTTTAAGGCGGCATACTCTTTCCTAATACAGCCTATGTTTAAGGACACTTGCTCTGAAGTCATACAATTCAATTTCTCTCATCTGTACTCTTCCTTCCCTATTCTCACCATCCCTTCGTTATCTTCCTCCCTTATTCCCTCCTCCTCCTTCTTCTTGCTTTTCTTTTCTTGCTTTTTCTTCTTTGTGTCTATGTCTAGCATGCTGATGGCTCCCAGGAATGAAGCCCAGATGACATTTTGACATTGTGTTTTTCTCAAGTAACCCAGTCAGCCAGCAGATAGCTTGTCGATTCCTTTAAAGTACCTAGGTGCCTGGCACTGTGGGGAAGAAAAGCCAGGTAAGTTAGTGTTTCCATCCTCAATGCACTTACAATTTAGTTGGAAAGATAAAACATGTTAATGTGAAAAGATAAGTAGAAGGTCAAAGCAGGGGGCAATGAAATACTTTCTGACTCAAAACTCGAGGTGAAGTTAGACTTGGTAGGTTCTAAGCAAGTGTGGCCAAAGTGAAGTTGCTTCAAGACTAAAAGGCACCAGCCTGATCCCAGAAATGGGAGAAGATGGTCATAGTTCAGGCCATTTCCCCAGCTGAGGTTCGTGCTCCAACACTAAAGTCACTAGACCCTGAGTACTGTGCTGGTCAGTACCAGGTGGACAGATTCTTGAGAGTCATGATGTCATAAGACCTCTCAGAACATTCCAGTCTCCCTTCAACATGTATCCTGTGTTATACTGTTGGGTACCTCATTGAATAGTGCCTTGTGTGGAACTAGAATACTGTGGCAAAAGTTGTTCCTCTAATGGTTGTTCTCTTTTCCAGTCCGGTCCAAGGTTATATCTACAGTGGACCACTCTTACAGGTCCAGCCTGAAAACTTCAGGGTTACCCTATAGA